TTTTCACACTCTGTTGGATCACCTTTTCTTGAGAATGGAAATAAATATGGTCTCTTCCAGTCAGTTGGCCAGGTAGTTGTCCTCCAAGTTTCCTGGCACAGCAAGATTTGACAATGAGTTCTTGGATATTATAACAAAATAAGGATAAAAAAACCCCTTTAATAACAGAGAGAGAGAAAAAAAACCAGAAAAATCAGACTTCACAAAAATATGTGTATCAAAGACAATTAAGAGAGTGAAAAAATAACTCACAGGAGAATATATTTACAAACCACAAACAGTCTACATCTACTTTCTTGTTATTTGAAATTTCCCAATCACAATAGTAAAAATCATGCTGGCTGTGATGTTAAGTGTCAGCTTTCCTGGACCATAATTCTGAATGGTTTTACCATTACATAATGATGTAATTTGGCAGTTACATAACAATATAGTAATCCTCTTTCCATTTTCACAGTATATCCATTTTGCATAATGATTAAGGCTTTAAACAGGCTTGCCAACACAGCCAGAAATGCACAACCAGGAAAAGATAAAACCAACAAGTGGGTCCTTCTGAAAATTAAATCCCATTAAAAAATAAATAAATTAAATCCCTGTGTGCATTAAAAACTTTTCCCAATAGGGTAAAAACAAAACCTACAGGTTGGGAAAAATATCTGGCAATGACAGATCAGACAGTCTCATAACAAAAGTTTACAGAATAATGGGCAAAAGACATGGAAAGATTCTTCACAAAGAAGACCAAAAAAGGATGGCCAACAGACACATGAAGATATGCTAAAAATCACTGGCAATAAGAGAGATGCAAAATCAAAACCACAATGAGAACCATCTCACTCCAGTAGCAGCAGTGGCAAAGTTTAACAGGACAGCAAGTATCAAATGTTGGAGAGGATGTGGAGAGACTGAAACTCCCATGCACTGCTGGTGGGACTGTTAAGATGGTACAACCACTCTGGAAGGTAGTTTGGCTTTCCTCAAAAAAGCCAAACATAAAAATTCCACATGACACAGTTATTCCATGCCTATATAAACCAAGGAAATTAAAATTGAGACACAAAGAGAGATATGTACATTTATGTTCATAACAGGGAGCTCTGATGGTCTAGTGGCAAGAAGCTGTGCTCTAATCCCCAGAGCATATGGTTCGAGTACACCAGCTACTCCACAGGAGAAGGATGGGCAATCTTTTCCAGTGCAATTAATAGCCTCTGAAAAAACACTGGAGGGTCAGCTATGGGTCATTTTCAACACACACACACACACACACACACACACACAGCAGCACTATTCACAATAGCACAAATGACTGGACTAAAAAATGGTACATTCACACAATGGAATACTCTAAAGCACTCAGGACCGATTTCATAAAATCCTATATAACATGGGAGAGTATATGAGTGAATTAACTCAGTCTCATAGAACAAATACTGCATAAGACTATTACGGTAAAAATGAGATAACTAGTAAGATGTATATAAATTTCCAAAAGGGGAAAGGGAAAAGAAGGCGGAAAAAGGGGAAGGATGGAAATCACTAAGATAGCAGATTTAGGGGAGTAAAGGAATAGGAAAGATTCAATGAAAACTCAAAAAGACAGTATAATTGAGGGAGCTCTGGTGGCCTAGTGGCAAGAAGCTGCACTGCAATCCCAGAGGTGCGTGGTTCAAATCCACTAGATGCTCTGTTGGAAAAGGAGGGACAATCTCCTTCAGTACCAGTCAGATCCAATTTGACGGTACACACACACACACACACAAAATTTTTTTTAAAATGGAAAAAAAACCCCCAAAAACAAGAACAGTACATTGATAGACACATTAAATAATAGTATTTTATGATATAAAATACAAGGTATACGAATGAATGTATGAAACACAACGTAAATGTAAGATTATATAAAACGTAATATATACGAATGAAACACACTGTAAAATGAAGTGTTGTATGCAAACCAATTAAAAAAAAAAGAAAGTGAAAGAAAAAAAAGAAAAGTCCTAGGAATCAACAGACTACCAATCAACATGTTTCAGCTAACAGACGCAGTACCGGACATATTCAGCAATCTGTTGCCAGGAAATTCAGAAGAGAGCTACTTAGCCAACTGATTGGAAGAGCGCTGTTTTGTTCCCATTCTCAAGAAAGGTGATCCAAAAAGAATGTGGAAATTATGAAACAGTATCATTTCTATCACATGGAACAAAATTATTGCTGAAGATCATCCAAAATGAGCTATAACAATATATTGACAGAAAACTGCCAAAAGTACAAGCTGAGTTTGGAAGAGGTCATGATACCAGGGATATCTCTGCTGATGTTAGACAGATCTTGGCAGAAGCAGAGACTACCAAAGGAATGTCTATTTGTGTTTATACGGCTGTGTGGATCATAACAAACTATGGTTAACACTGAGAACAGTATGAATCCCGAACACTTAATTGTGCTCACCAAGCAACTACTGTTCAAATAGAGCAACAGTTATATGGTTTAAAAACAAGAAAGGTGTGTGTAGGGCCTATATCCTTTCTCAGTTCGCTGTTAGGGACCTCTCCAAAATACTGAAGAGCAATAATGTCAGTTTAAAGACTAAACTGTGCCCAATTCAGGCTATGATCTTTTTAATCACTTGCTACTCACTTGAGAGCTGGACGATGACTAAAGATGACAAAAAAAAGAAATGATGCCGTTGATTGTGGAGTTGGAGAAGAGTATTGAATATCTTCACGGACTGGCAAAGAACAAACAGATATGGAAAAAGTGGTGTCATAAAGTTCCTTAGAGGCAAACACAGTGACTATTATTTCTCATACTTTAGGCATATTGCTAGGAGAGACTATTCTTTGGAAAGTGACATCATGCTTAAAAAAGTGCCAAGTCAGTGAAAGAGAAGATGATCCTCAAGGAAATAGATTGACACAGCAACTGTAGCAATGAGCTCAAGTGTGTCAGAGACAATAAAGATGGCACAGCAGAGGACATGGTTCGGATCTGGTTTTTGTTTCACTGTGAATCGTTTTTTACTCCTAAGAACAACAACAGCACCACCACCACAATTCAATCTATGTGCTAAGCAAATCAGTAGAGAAGCTGGACTGACTCTGAAGAAGAATGTGGCATCAGGATTGGAGAAAAACTCATCAACAACCTGCATTATCAGATGATACAACCTGCTAGCTCAAAGAGAAGAAAATTTGAAATGTATGCTGCAGAATAACAATGACCATAAAACCTTTAATACAACTTAACATCAAGAAGAGAAAAATCTTTACCACTGGGCCAACAGGCAATATCATCAGAGATGGAGACAGACATTGCTGAATCTCCCTCCAATCCTGATGTCTTACTACTCTTCATAGAGTCCAGCTTCTCAGAAAATCTGCTCATTATACAGACTGAATGCGTATGGAGAATACAACCCCAACACACTCCACTCTCTTCTCAATTTTAAACCAGGTAGTGTTCCCCTGTTTTGTTTGTACAACAGCTTATTGGTCCAGGTCCAGGTTTCACATAAGCACTATTAAGCACTCTGGGACTCTCATTCTTCTCAGTGTCAGCCATAACTTGTTATGCTTCACATAGTCAAATGCCTCTACATAGTCAATAAAGTACAAACAGAGAGTCTTCCGGTATTCCTAACTTTCAGGCAGGATCCCTCTGACATCAGCAATGATATCTTTGGTGCCACAGGCTCTTCTAAATCCTGCTTGAACTTCTACCAGTTCCCTATGTATGTTCTATATATGTTCTAGCCATTTTAAAATCATTTTCAGTGGTATTTTGTTTGTATGTGATATTAATGATATCGTCCGATGGTGTACATGATCAAGTTTCTTGGGAATAGGAACTCAGGAATGGCTCTTGTGACCTGCCTTCAACTATCTCTCTTGATTAGCTTACTCTTCCTGCCTTCCATGTGCTTAAGTAACTTCTCACTAGTTTTGAACATCAAAAGATGCTGTGGTACACTGTTATCCTTTACAGTTTCCACTGCCTAGTAGGACTTCAGAGGCTCAGTTCAAATTCACATGCAAAATAATTTAAAGAGGCCCCCGATTTTCCTAGACATGGCATTACAAATATAATAACAAACAGAAAAGACAGTCCTTGTCTTTTGGAACTCCCAATCCAAGAAAAGGTGTTTAAAGGCACATTACTTAACTGAAATGGGTAGGTTTCTTTCAAATAAGAGCGTATGATTCCATGGGCGCATATACAAAAAGCATCTCTGATCTAGCAGAGATAAGCGTGATATATGTAGTTTCCTTGAAGAAAAGAATTCAAAGTTCTGAAGGATAAAAAGTTAGATACGGGTACAGTGGTTTATTTTGGAGTCCTTGTTGAGCCAGCTCTCCCACCTAGCTGTAACATTTAGGCTGGCCACTGAGATGCTAGGTCCTGAAAAGAGGTGAAACTCTTAGCTGGCACTCAGAACCCTGGCTCACGAGTTCGATATCCCTGTCCTGGACTCTGGTATTTAGAAAGGAAAAGGAGCATAAACTCAGCTTGATGATCTTCTCCTCCCCTGCATCAAGAATGCTCTCTAGTTTGTATTTTGTATCTGTTTCTGGAATCTGTAAGAGTCAGTGGAGGACTGACTTCACTGTTGATCCGTAAACCCTACAGAGCTGCCATTTAGGAGAGTTGCATCAGGTATATGTGGCAGATGGAAGAGCTGGCTCAGCTAGGTAATGAAGCTGAGAGCTTAACGCCCAAGTTGTAGGTGCCTGGACAGGGGCTCCCAAACCTTAACGATTAGGCAGTGCCCGAGACGATTCTTAAGAAGTAGACAAACCAGGAGCACCAAGGATCAAAGGCTGCCAAATAAAGTGACTGAGTTACATTTCCTACTGTCCGTTACACAGGAGGCCGCTTTAACAGCCCAGGCCTGTGTAGGGGTGACAGAAGAGCAGCCTTCATTCACCTTTACTCCTGTGGCTCGCTGCAATCTGCGGTTGGCGGACCGGCCTACAGGATTCAAGGTGCTTTCTTACCCGCCTCATCCGACTGTTGGACAGTAGGTCGGCGATGCCCTTGGCTGCGTCGTTTTTCTCAGCAACACAGAGGACTTTCCGCACTCCACGGAAGGCGACCTCCATAGCGGTGCGGGACAAGGTGCGGGCTCCGGACTGTGGCAACCACCGACGCGCAAAGCGTGTGGTCATGAAATTCATCTCTGAAGCCAAGACATGCTACAACAGCCGCGCGCCTAGCCTCGACTACCTACGCGCCTTGGTACGCTTACTCCGCTCTCCTTCCGGGGCGCGAGACCACTGAGAGAACTCCTCCCCGGAAGTCGCTACTCTGTCGTCCCGCCCCCACTGCGTTCTCACAGGAGTTCCCCACCCTTACTTGGAAGTCTATGCGAGTGCTTCCGGGTTACACGAAGAAGACAACGCAAGTCATGTGATTCTAAGATGGCGGCGTCGCAGTAGGTTCTTGCCGGTTGTGGCGTGCAGGGAACCAGCAACGGTTTCTGCCCTCAGGCTCTGGGGCATCAGTGGTTGTTTGACCCCTGCGGCGGCTTGTAGCCCGTTTTAGGCATCTTTTCTGAGCTGAACTATTGCTGGCGCAGTGGATTCAGGGCCAGTGGCCGTGACCTCACTGCAGGTGCTTTGCGACGGGTGCACTAGCTTCTGGGGAAGTAGAACAACTGGATTACTCTGTCTTCTCGGCTTGAGGCCTTGGGGCTTATGACACTACTAAGGGCTCCTGAGGGGCTACACCCTTGAGCGGGCTGTGGAAATTTGAGTTCTCAAGTGTGTTCGAGACATCTGGATTCTTGGGAGCTCAAAGAAGACTACACTACTTATGCCCGGCGTCCCTGCGTAGACGTCTATTGCATTCTTTCTCTTACCTTCTCCATGTTCTCTCCACACATCTGGAAATATGATCAGCGCCCCTGACGTGGTGGCCTTCACCAAAGAGGACGAGTATGAAGAAGAGCCTTACAATGAGCCAGCCCTACCCGAGGAGTATTCGGTGCCACTCTTCCCCTTTGCCAGCCAGGGAACCAACCCATGGTCCAAACTGTCTGGAGCCAAGTTTTTGCGGGACTTCATTCTTATTTCTGAGTTTTCTGAGCAGGTAGGACCCCAACCTTTGCTGACCATCCCTAATGACACGAAAGTTTTTGGAACTTTTGATCTCAATTATTTCTCTTTGCGGATCATGTCTGTGGATTACCAGGCCTCTTTCGTGGGCCATCCACCTGGTTCTGCCTATCCCAAGCTGAACTTCGTGGAGGACTCCAAGGTGGTGTTGGGTGACTCCAAGGAGGGAGCCTTTGCTTATGTGCACCACCTTACCTTGTATGACCTGGAGGCACGTGGTTTTGTGAGGCCCTTCTGCATGGCTTATATCTCTGCAGATGAGCATAAAATCATGCAACAGTTTCAGGAGCTTTCAGCTGAATTTTCCAAAGCTTCTAAATACTTGAAGACAGGTAATAGGAAGGCTTTTGCTGGGGAGCTTGAAAAAAAGTTGAAAGACTTGGATTATACCAGGACAGTACTGCATACAGAAACAGAGCTCCAAAAAAAAGCTAATGACAAAGGATTTTACTCATCTCAGGCAATTGAGAAAGCCAATGAGCTAGCAAGTGTGGAGAAGTCCATCATTGAGCATCAAGATCTGCTGAAGCAGATTCGCTCATACCCGTGTCAGAAGTTAAAGGGGTCTGATTTGAGTGCTCATGAGGCTGAGCACACTGAGGATCAAGCTGGCCAGGCTTCCTCTACCTCTGATCCAGAAGTTTATCCTGGCAGACCCACCTACATCCCCAAACTCATCAAAGCAAAGTCCACCAAGTGTTTTGATAAGAAGCTGAAGACCTTGGAGGAGCTTTGTGACACTGAATATTTTGCCCAGACATTGGCTCAACTCAGCCACATTGAGCACATGTTCAGAGGAGACCTATGTTACCTCTTGACCAGCCAGATTGACAGAGCCCTTCTAAAGCAACAACATGTAACTGACTTCCTCTTTAAAGACTTTCTGGAGGTTGTTGACAGGGTAGAGAAACAAGATAGCACACCTCTTGAGCCCAGTCAATATAGGCCACCTTCCAGATCTCTGGAAGAATGTCTGATTCCGAAAGTGTTAATTAGTGTTGGTTCTTACAAGTCCAGTGTGGAGTCTGTGCTGATCAAGATGGAGCAGGAACTTGGAAATGAGGAATACAAGGGAGTAGAGGTGACAGAAGGGAGCAGTTTTGACCCCCAGGAGCACTTGGACTACCTGGATATGGACATGAAAGGGAGTATCAGCAGTGGTGAAAGCATTGAGGTTCTAGGAACAGAGAAGTCTACCTCTGTCTTGCTTAAGTCCAATAGCCAGGCCAGCCTCATTGTACCACTGAGCCCCCAGGTAGTACGGAGCAAGGCAGTGAGTCACAGGACCATCAGTGAGGACAGTATTGAAGTCCTCAGCACCTGCCCCTCTGAGGCTCTCATCCCTGATGACTTTAAGGCCAGTTACCCAAGTGCCATTAATGAAGAGGATGCTTATGTAGATGACAATGAAGGAGCCATCCACTTCCAGGCAAGCACCAACCCCCCAGATCTAGGGGAGGCAGGAAAGGGCAGCTTGGAAAACACTCCATCACATACTGACTCAGCTTGCTGTATTGGGAAGGAGAGCAACAGTCTTCTAGTGCCACTTCTCACTCCTGCCCACAAGCCGCCTGACAGTGAAGAAGTGGTAAGCATCCCTCCACAAAGCTATAGGCAGAAGGACCAAGGCTTCAGTGCAGATTTTACAGTGGAAAACGACTATCCTCGAGACAACAGTTTGGAAAGTTTTCACCCTTATGCACTGGACCCCAGCTTCTTGTTTGTGAGCCGAGATGTCAGTAAGACCAGCCTGGACAACTATTCAGACTCTACCAGCTACCTGAGCAGCATGGACTCCACCAGTTCATATAGGACTTCCTTCTCTATCCATCCCACTGGATCCTCTTCTGAGAGGCATAAAAAGAGGGCTGGCCAGAATGCCTTAAAATTTATCCGCCAGTACCCCTTTGCTCATCCAGCTATCTATTCCCTGCTCAGTGGAAGGACACTTGTAGTCCTGGGAGAGGATGAGACCATTGTAAGGAAACTTGTGACAGCACTGTCCATCTTTGTTCCCAGCCATGGCCGCTATGGCAAGCCTGTGAAGCACTGGGTCTCCTCTCCTTTGCACATTACGGATTTTCAGAAGTGGAAGCTTATTGGCCTGCAGAGGTAACAGGTTATAGATGGGGAGGGACCTTGTTCAGTTAGAATTGAAGGAGGTTTTAAATGTGCCCAGTTTCAGGCATAGTCCATAGAAAGTTATGATGTTAAGAGGCAGTGCCTCTTAAATGGTTCAAATCTATGAGCAACTCCTTGGGGGGAAAGGGCAGTCTCCTCTCAAGTGATTTATAGCCTTTGAAACCATTGTGTCTATTGTGAATCCATTCCAACTTGATGGCAGTGAGTTGAGTTGATGGCTTCTAGATGGGGTCTTCTACCAACTTACTATATTTTAGCAAGTTATTCCTCTCCCCTGGTTTAGACATGTTTGTCATCATAGGGGGATGCCATCCCTGTTGTGTCAGAATTACATGAAGAATGTTAGTTACAGATTTCTTGGCACTATCCCCACAGACTATCACTTGAGTCAGGTAAAGACATGGAATTTTTTTGTGTACAGCAAAGTTTGCAAACAATTAGACTGTAAGATCTCATGTCTTTATTATAAATAACTGAGAAGCAGTTTGCTCAGATTGCTAAGTCCTCAGGGCAGCTGACACAGACAGCTGGGCAGATTTGGCTTTCCTCATTTGTTCGTTTTGGTGAACCTGTCTGAATGTTCTGCTTTTATGTGCCATTGAGTCGGAACCAACTCATAACTGACCTTCCAGTGAGTTTTCAGAGCTTGTAAATTGCATGAGAGGAGATTGCCCATCTTCTCAGGTGCACATGGTGGATTTGAGCCACATGCTTTTGGGTTGGCAATGCAACTTCTTACCATTAAACCACCAGAGCTTTGAGTGAGGAACTGTAATAACTAGTCATTTCTCACCCCCTGTGACTATTTCAGATTTTATTTCTCCATGGACCTCACTTCTGCTTTGGCAGATTCCTTTCATTTTTCTAAATACTCCTCATTAAGTTCTTCTTGTTAAGGGTTTCCTTTTTCTGATATTTTCCTTTGGGTATGCACTGTGTTCAGTTTCTCCTTGTTTGTGAAACAAAGGCAGCAAATTTGGTGCCCTTCTAACTGCCTGTCCTTCCCACATTACTTACAGTCTTAAGTCTTTTAGAGCTTAAGCTGTAATCTGTATAATTTTTTATAACCTGTGTAATTTTTTATAATTTATAATTTCTTTATAATTTTTTAAATAATCTGGATACTTTTATAGCTTTTTCTTTTTCCTAAGATCAATAAGGTGGTTATCTCCTCTTATAAAAGTCCCTAGAGCTTTCTGTACTTGCTGCATCATCTTATATCTGGGGTGGCCAAGGTGTGATGTAAGCAAATGTATTACCATATTAGTATTTGAGCTTCTTGTTGAGAATCATCTGAAAGTCATTTGAATGTTGGGCTACCAAGACATGTTTCATTCCAGTTCTAGCTCTAATGCTGATGGATTCAGGGGTAATGAAGCCTTTGGGCAAGGCTTTAGTTCCCTCTGTAGCAAGTAAGAGGCTTGGGTCACTGATCATTTGCTAAATACTTAATGAAGTCTGCTGTGTGCCAGATATTGTGCTAAGTGCTACAGTTCCAAGGCAAGTCAGTCATGGCTGCTGGTGACATTTCTGCTTTTGGGTCAGCCCTGGTCCCAGCCAGCTCCATCATTGCTGTGAGACTTGGAGTTGGGAAGCTTGGTGCCTCTGAGACTGTTTTGTCTGCTAAAGTTGGAGCTAATGAGACCTACCCCAGGATAAAAGTCTTTTGAAGTGCCCTCTTGCATCTGATCCCTACTGACCAGTCACTCTTTAGATCCAAGTAGGGAGAATATAGAAACAGAGTATACCAGGAAGCAGTTCAGTGGCACAGAGGTCAAGTGTGCCTCTTACCAGCCAGATCTCAGGAGCTGTCTTCCCTCTGCTTCTGAAAAGCCAGATAATCCAAGCAACACAAACCCATTATAATGAAGCCTGTTCTGACTCACAGCAGTCCTCTGTCATGTTTCCCAAACTGTAAAATGCGAAGAAACTATCCATCTTTCTTCTACAGAGTAGCTGGTGGGTTCAAACTGTTGGCCTTTTGCTGGCCCAACACTTAACCTACTTTGCAACCAAGGCTTTCTCCAAAAGCCAGAGCCCCAGTGAATTGACATCTCTAAGCTTTTCAGGTGAGAGTTGACTATTTCTACCCTTAAAAATTCCTTCTCAAACTTGCATATGTACTTAGTACTTAATAATTGGAGATGTCTGCCTGCTGAGGGTTATGCTCAGGCATGGGGCCATTGAGTAGGGATCTCCAGGGAACATGTCACTGAGGATCAGCTGAGGGGCTAAATGTGAAGTAGGAATTGCACTGGCTTCAGCTGCCAGTAAAATCCAGAGAAACCTTGAAGGAAGGTAAGCAATGGAGGTTAAGCATCCTCAGGTTAAAATTTATAGTATTGTGTCTGTGTGTTACAAAAGGTGGGGTGGGTGGTGTTCTGAGCTCCTCCTGAGTAGTGGTGCGAATGTGGACACATTTATCTCACATACAGTTAGGATGTATTAATAATAATTGATGACCGGAATGCAAAAGTTGGAACCAAAGAAGAAAGATTGGTAGTCTGTAATTATGAACTTGGTGACAGAAGTGAGGCTGGTGATCCATTTATTAAATTTTTGTGTAATTACTGATATAGTTCTTGTAAATACTATTTTTAGAAAATTATAAATGGCAACTGAATGCATGGACCTCACCTGAGGGACTACATAGAAATCAAATGGACTACATCTGGGGGTGGGGAGTCGTTGGGGAAGCTCAAAATTAGCAGTCAGAGCCAGGTCAGTTGCTGACTGTGGAATCATCAGTTACTCATGTACAAGTTTAACTTGAAGATTAAAACAAGTCCTTAACCAAAGTAGGTCCTTGAATCCAGACCAGATGAATTTAATAGCTATCTCAAGAATGGGTTTGAGGCATTAAACAAAAGGAAGAAATGGTAGAGTAGAAGAGATGAACAAAATAAGATTTCAGAGGGTAGCTTGAGAAGACAAAGCCAAGTATTATAATGAAAGGTTCAAAGAGGTGGAGTTAGAAGATAAAAAAGGATGAACTCACTTGGCATTTCTCAAACTGAAATTCAAGCTTCCAGTTGCTATACTGAGGAATGCTTATGGGTAAAATCTCTTTATTAAAAGAAAAAAAAATTTATGGGCAAAATCTTGAATGATCCAGGAAGAATCAAAAGAACAAAACAACTAGGAGATATCATCTTACCCCAGTAAAACTAGAAATTTTTTTTTTCATTTTCAATGATTTCTTCATTTCAAATACCTTTTTTTTAGTTTATTATTCATTTCAATGAAAATTTACAGAAACTTTGGATTTCAATTCCTTCATTGTTGCACTTTTCTCCCCTCCCCTCTTGGAAAAGTAAAAGAAAAATTCTTTCATTGTTTTACAATCCCTCCCCCCAGGTCCACTCCACTATGCAGCCTTTGCTCCTGTCATGACAAATACACCTAATAACATATCCCTATTAAACAGTTTTCTCCCTCATCCGTTTCAATGCAGTATACATTATTGAACCCATCTTTCTCAGTCTCCACCCAACCCTGATATCAGTCCTGTTTTACAACAGTGGCACCATGCAGTATTTGTCCTTTTGTGACTGAGATACTTCACTCAGCATAATGTCCTCCAAGGTCACCCATTTTGAATAATATTGCATGAGTTCCTTGTTTTTCAATGCAGCATAGTATTCCATTGTGTGAGTATACCACAGCTCCTCTATCCATTCATTTGTTGATGGGCACTGAGGTTGTTTTCCAACTCCTTGCTATTGTGAACAAAGCCGTGATAAATATGGGTGTGCATATATCTACTTGGGTGGCAGTTATGGTCTCTTTGGGGTATATTCCCAGTAGTGGAATTGCTGGGTCAAATGATATCTCTATTTGCAACTTTTTGAGAAAGTGCCATACCGCCTTCCACAGTGATTGCACCATTTTACACTCCCACCAACAGTGAATAAAGGTTCCAGTTTCTCTAAAACCTCACCAGCACTTGTTGCTTGCTGTTCTGTTAAATTTTACTATTCTGACTGGGGTGAGATGATATCTCATAGTTGTTTTGATTTGCATCTCTCTTAGAGCTAGGGATTTTGAACATTTTTTCATGTGCTTGTTAGCCATCTGAATGTCGTCTTTGGTGAAGTGTCTGTTTATATCCTGTGCCCATTTTTCTATTGGATTATTAACCTTTATCTTGTGGTGAGAATAGCAAAATTTAACAGAGCCGCAAACAACAAATGCTGGTGAGGTTGTGGAGAAACTGGATCCCTTATTTATTGTTGGTGGAAGTGTAAAATAATGCAGCCACTATGGAAGACTGTATGGCGTGCTCTCAAAAAGTTGCAAATAGAAATACCATTTGACCCAGCAATTCCATTACTGGGAATATACCCTAAAGAGACCATAACTGCCACCCAGGCAGATATATACACACCCATGTTTATTGTCTTTGTTCACAGTAGCAAAGAGTTGGAAACAACCTAAGTACCCATCAACAAATGAATGGATAGAGAAGCTGTGGTATATTCATACAATGGAATACTATGCTGCATTGAAAAACAAGGAACTTATGCAGTATTATTCAAAATGGGTGATCTTGGAGGACATTATGTTGAGTGAAATAACTCAGTCACAAAAGGACAGGTGCTGCATGGTGCCACTATTGTAGAATGGGACTGACATCAGGATTGGAGTGAGACTGAAAAGAATTGGATAAATTATGCATAGTACATTGAAACAGATGAGGGAGAGAATGGTTTGAAAGCAATATATGATTGGGTTTTATGGTTATGACAGGAGTCCAGAATGAAGATTGCATAGTGGAGTGTACACAGGGTGGGAGGGTGGTAGATTCTATACCAATGAAATAATTTTTCTTTTACTTTTCAAAGAGAAGAGCGAACTGGGGGGAGGGGTGGGCAGGGAGAAAAATGTAACAATGAATGTATAGAAATCCAAAATCTCTGTAAACGTTCCTTAAAATTAAAAAAAAATTAGATGGAAAGAATACACAGTCACTGTACCAAAAAGAATTGGCTGACACAGAAACATTTCAGGAAGTAGCATATGATCCACAACCAATAGTGATAAAGAAAGAAATTCAAGCTGCCCAGAAGGCATTGACAAAAAATAAGACCTCAGTAATTGATGAGGTCCCAACTGACATATTTCAACACAAATGTAGCCCTGGATGTGTTCATGAAATTTGCTTTGCAAAGAAATTTGGAAGTCAGCTACCTGGCCAATTGACTGGAAGAGATCTATATTCCAATTCCCAAGAAAGTTGATCCCAAAACAACTATGAGATTTCATCTCACCCCAGTAAGAATAGCAAAATTTAACAGAGCAACAAACAACAAATATTGGCAAGGTTGTGGAGAAACTGGAACCCTTAATCACTGTTGGCAGGAGTGTAAAATGGTGCAACCAGTATGGAAAGCAGTATGGCTCTTTCTCAAAAAGTTGGAAATAGAAATACCATTTGACCCAGCAGTTCCATTAGTGGGAATATACCCTAAAGAAACCAGAATTGCCACCCAAGCAGATATATGCTCACCCATGTTTATTGCAACCTTGTTCACAATAGCAAAGAGTTGGAAACAACTCAAGTGCCCATCAGCAAACGAATGAATAGAGAAGTGGTGGTATATTCACACAATGGAATATTATGCAACACTGAAAAACAACTCATGAAATAATATACAAAATGGGTGACCATGGAGGACATTATGCTGAGTGAAATATCTCAGTCACAAAAAGACAAATACTACATAATGCTACTATTATAAAACAAGACTGACATGGGAGTTGGGAGGAAACTAAGAAAAGAGGGAATAAATAATGTGGCATTGAAACAGATGAGGGAGAAAACTGCATAAAAGGAATATGTATTATTGGCAGGACTAGAGTCCAGAATAAGAGCTGCATAGTAGAGTGATTGGGAGGAGGGATGACTATATAACAATGAAAGAACTTCTTTTCCAAAGAAAAAGTGAATGGGGGTGGGGCAGGGAGGAAAATGTGCAACAATGAATGAATGAAGAGCCAAGTTCTTTATAAACTTTCATTAAAATCTCAATTTTAAAAAGTTGATCCAATAGAATGTGAGTGAAAATTAGCAAATAATACCACATGTAAGTAAAATCTTGCTGAAGATTATCCCAAAATGGCTTTAATAGTACATTGACAGAGAACTGCCAAAAATTCAGGCTGAATTTACAAAAGGCATGGCACCAAGGATACCACTGGTGATGTCAGATGGATCTTGGCTGAAAGAGAATACCCAAAGTTGTGTTTTATTAGCTATGAAAAGGCATTTGACTGTGTGGATCATAACAAATTATAGCCAACATTGAAAAGAATGGAAATCTTACGACATTTTACTGTGCTCATGCAAAATCCATACTTGGACCAAGGAATTGAACAGAGCAAGGGAACACTTGCATGATTTAAAATCAAGAAAGGTATTAGTCAGGACTGTATCCTTTTTCCACACCAATTCAATCTGTATGCTGAGAAATCATTCTAGAAGCTGGACTTTATGAAGAACATGGCATCAGGATTGGAGGAATACTTATCAACAACCTGCATTATGCAGATGACACAACCTTGCTTGCTGAAATCAAAGAAGACCTAAAGTGCTTACTACAGAAGAGCAAAGGCTATATAGCCTTCAATATGGATTATATCTCAATGACAAGAAGACAAAAATCATCAACAGTGGGCCTATAGACAACATGATAGATGAGAAAAGATTGACGTCAATGGTTTAATCTTGTTTGGATCCACAGTAAACACCCATGCCAGTCAAGAAGTCCAAAAATGTGTTACCTTTGGAAAACTCTGTTAAGAATTGTTCAAGGTGTTAATGGAGCAACCATGTCAGTTTATAGACTAACTCAAACCTTCCTTAGTTTTTTCAGTTAATTGCTGTGCATCTAAAATTGGATGATGACTAAGGATGAAAAGAATTGATGCCTTTGAGTTCTGGTGTTAGAAAAGAATATAGAATATCCCAAGGACAGCTAAAAGAACAGATATGTTCTGTAGAGAGTACAGCCAGGGTGTTTGGGGGCATGTGGTTAGGAGCACTTAGTCCTTGGAAAAAGACAAGGTGGAAGGTCAGTGAAAGAGAAAACTACCCTCAAGGAGATAGATAACACAGTGGCGACAACATTTGGCTGAAGTATATCAGAAATTATGAGATGGCACAGGGTAGGGGAGGGTTCAGATCCATTGTTCTCTGGATGTTCTAGGATAGTGTTGCTAGGATTTCATAGCAGCTAACAACATTATACCTACAATTGTCAGATCATAAGAATGCCTCTGTAGGTGAAGCTAACAGTACCCCTGCCTATAGTTGTTGAGGAGGCTCCGTACATGGTGTCTGCAGGATAGGGCAGACTTAGACTGCTGAACCACAGCGGCAGGCGGGCCACCGCAGAGCAGTAAGCACTTTTCAGGGAGGCCAGCAGAGGCCTGTTGTGCTCTTACTCTGAGACATGTGGCCTGTGCAGGTTTCTGCTTCCTACCTTTGAGACTTTGAGCTTGTTCTTCCCTTGATCTGGAATACTTCCTGCTTTCTGCAGAAAGTGAGCCCACTTTTGAAGGCCCAGCTCAGTATCTGCTGTTTCTCAGGGAGCCTCAGCCCTCTTTGTCATGGCACTTGTTTGCAGGTCTCTTCCCACCCAAATTCAGCTCATTAAGTACAAGAACTCCTGGCTCATTTCATTATATTTTCAGGTAACCAAGTCCAAAAGGAAAAAGTAAACACTATGAGACTACCTTGGTTACTAGCAACCACTTTTAAAGTTCTTTAATCCCTCTGTATCACATTGAGTCCAGCTCATTGTGACCCTCTCTATTTTTGAGAGGAATTTATCTTTTTCAGGTGGAGTGGCTGATGGGTTTAAACTGTTAATATTTTGGTCAGCAGCCCAATGCACTGTGCACTTAGCACTACACCACCAGGGCTTCTTGTACAAACCTTAAATTTCAAAGATTTGTTTGTTTGAAGAATCTAGTCAGCCAGTCATTTGTCAGATTCTACAGTTCTGGGTAACTGATCGTGAAGAGGCTTGCAAAGAAGCAGCAGCATAAAGCTGACTGGTTGAACTTTCTCTCCTCATAACTTCTCATGGAACTGCACTTCCTGCTTGTGCTAGCCAGTGGGGTGGATCTGGCCCTGGCTTTCAAGAAAGCCTCTTGTATAGTGGAGACAGGACACGAAAACAGTATCCCCACCCTGTGAGCAATTGTAATGGGTATCAAGAGCATGTAGCTCCTAAGATGCAGATACTTCCCCAGGCAGAACTCCTTTAGTTCAGCAGCTGTTCCGTGAGATAAGGAATATTATCTTTTTCTTGTAGATGAGGATCAGAAATGTGTCTAGGGTCACACAACAAGGACATTTATTCCAGATTAAAGGATCAGGAAAATCTGAAAAGAATTCTCCCTGTCCTTCTGGTGTAAAACTTAAGTACAAAAGAAGGGAAGGGCATTACAGGTAGAGTAGACAAGTCTGTGATTTTTGAACCCTGCAAAAAACTTCATGACTGGCAAGGCAAGTCCATGAGGGAAGGTAATGAATGAAGGCTCAGGAAGGACTGTGGGATGCATAAGGTTTATGGCCCACATTGTAAGGGTGACGGGGAAGCCTCAGAAGGCTGTGGTAATCGAATTTGTCTTCCAGAAAAAAGCCAGTGAATGCTGACTGAATGGAGCTGATCTTTACCTGTCTGTTTCAGAGTGGCCTCCCCTGCTAGTGCTGGCACCCTCCAGGCCCTGAGTCGCTACAGCCGCTACACAAGCATCCTGGATCTGGACAACAAGACCCTGCGCTGCCCCATGTATAGAGGCACCCTCGTACCCCGGCTAGCCGACCATCGCACCCAAATCAAGAGGGGCAGCACCTACTACATGCATGTCCAGAGTATGCTCACCCAGCTCTGTTCAAAAGCTTTCCTCTACACCTTCTGCCATCACCTGCATCTGCCTGCTCATGACCAGGAGACACAGGAACTGGTGGCCAATTGCCAATTGAGCTTCCTGAGGCTGAACCTAGGTCAAGTAAAGGAGAATGTCAAGGTGGTCCAACACTTAGCTGAGTTGCTGAAGCTGCAGTACATATAGGGGTCTCCTGGGACTAGCCACCCCATGCTCAGGTTTGACTAGGTCTCAAGGGTTTTTTGCATAAAAATCTGAGGTTTATTCCACCCACTATGACCAAGATCGGTAACCCAAGACAGAGAGGTTTAGGGGGTTGAGGAAAGTGTTTGGCATGACCAAGTAGTTGCCTGAGCAGGGCTGTTTAGATTTCTGGCATTGTTAGTGGACAGGAAATCCAGGACTGGTGATGCAGGCAGCTTGGACAGAGAAGGAACCTGACTCTCTTGGAAGCCAACTTGAGTGCACCCAGGATTGGGAGTGGTTTTGGCTTCCCATGGACTGGCAGCTTGGGTGAAAGAACCATGAGCTAGAGACTATCAACTCAATGGACAAGCCTGTGGCCACATGTACCACCTGTCAATACATGGGTGAGAACAGTGAGCATGTGGACAATGAATGTCAAAACATGCTGGACCCAGCCGGAAGCCCCTGAACAAATGAGGAGGGGCAAGCTGAAACCACCAGCTGGGTCGTCACAGATTCCTGGACACCAAGTTTTCAGTGGATGAGAGAAAAGGGAAAATGGTGGGCATCCCCAGAGAGGAAACTGGCCAGCAGAAATGACTGCAGAAGCTGAGCTGCCAGTCCCTGTTGGGAAGAAGCACTATTGGGAGACAGTGCAGGGCTGATGTGGCTGTCCCACTGTGTTTTCATGAGGACTGGCCCACCTGTTTTTTGTAGCCAGGATGAGCTGTAGTTCTCTTGGGAAAGGTCTGCAGAAATATTAGCTTTGTCAGCGGTCACACCCCCAACCCCACACTACTCTCACCCCTATCAGATCTGCACTTCAACCATGGCACTACCTCCCACAGGCCTTGAAGATATGGTGACAGCCACATGCTGGCTGGCCAAACAGTGGGGTATTAGTAACCCAGTGGCAGTAAGTACGGGAGGGATTTTCTGTAGGAGCCTCTTTCTCTTGCCCTCTTCTACCTTTTGGGATTGAAAAAGAAAAGCCCATCACCCTCTTGACATCCAGGTCGCCTTATCCCTGAGACTTCTTACATGATTGCTGTTTAATGTATCTAAAAGAGTTTCCTGCAAACCTTGAGAAGTTTATTTAAGAGACCTTATCCCCCTTGGCTGAGCAAACCCTGGGTGTTATTTCTTCTTTTTCATTTGTTCCAGGAAGTAGGTGCTGGCCATGGCCTGTCACCTCAGTTGTCCCTTGCAGGAGCGTGTACATACATCTGGTATTGCCTTCAATATCACTTGGGTTCTGCTTTTGCCCCAGCCCACTTTTGGGAGCAGTGTTGAAGCTATAATAGGGAGACACATGGCCAGGGATGGTTTGCTTCAGGTGCTGTGAGCTTTATTCCACAGAATAGACATGCTCAGTGGCTCCTGGCCATAGGCCCCAAGCCAGGGGTCCCTCTTTGCTCAGAAGGCTGTGGCTCTGCTGCTCAGGCTACAGTCACAACTCTATGGTAGACGATGTTGGCCTCATCTCAGCAATCTCTCTGTGCCTGTGCAGCACTGCAGTTTCATAGAAGAGTCGTCAGAAACAGCTTGGTGGTTTTAAAAGTGACACATGCATTTACACATGAAGAAGGCTGCAGAGAAAGCTGATTCTTTTGTGCTCCCTCTGCCTGTCACTGTGCCCCTCCCTTGTGTTATAAATGCTGCTTCACTTTTCTGACTGGGTGGCTAATGGCAGTCATTTAGGCCTCCAAGGATACAACAGTGCAATATTTTATATTAAAGGAAGAAAAGTCTGTGGAGTCCAAATGACAAAAAAAAAAAAATTGAAAAGTGACACTACCCATGCTGTTTTGTCCCTGTTTTGACAGCAGTGTGTAAGTCTACAGTTCATGCTGCCTTCATGTGGGAAGTGGATGAAGGCAGTGGAGTTTCTGGAAGACACTGAACTATAACCATACACAGCCTTCTAGAACTGAAGCGATGCACTGCAGTAATTTTACTTAGACTTACATTCTAGGAAGCATTTACTAAGAGGCTTAGCCCCGAGAACAGAAAACTTTCATATTAAACCTGCTCTATTCACCAATTAAGGTGAACAGAGGTTTCCTGAAGGAGCCCGCCACTGTTGTTCCACTACACTAAGAAGTAAACGTGGTGTCACTGAATAGTGGTTGTGTTCCAGCATTTAATTTTGGTTTTAAAAAAGTACCTTTTTAGTTTTAAAGGATTATTTATATAGTTCTTAATGAAAGAAGAATATCAATGCCTTTGAGTTGTGCTGGAAGAGCCTTGATCATGGACCGCCAAGAAAACAAATGTCTCTTTTGGAGAAGGTAAAATCAGGTTTCTCCTTGAAGGCTAGGATTTTGAAGCTCCATCTCCCATACTTTGGCACATGGCCCAGAGGGACCCATCCTTGGAGAAGGACTTCATGCTCAGAAGGGTGGAGGGATGGCGCAGGAGAGGGAGACCCTGAGTGAGATGGATTGATAACAGTATTGAGGTAATGGGGGTAGATGTGGTGGAGTCAGTGAGACTGGCTCAGGACAGGGCTGACTTCAGAGCTGCTGTGAGTACAGGTGATGTGATGGCACATAACAACTAGAGGTGGTCACACAGAGGTGTTTGATACCTTGAAGCCCTAGGAGAACTTAGTATTGGAAATGTTTTACAACTTTAGGTGAGGAGACTTCTGCAGTGGGGCTAATCTCTTCAAGAATTTTCATTTGAGAATTTTCCTTTAAGAATAGGTTAGTATGTCATAATGATATCAAAAAACACTTCTGGGGGGGGGGAGAAATAGGCGATCTTATGGTTCCCTGATGACTTTGTCAGCAATACCTGCCATGGTGAAGGCCTAGGCACTGAATCCATGCTTGTCTACAAGCCATGACTTCCCCATCCTTGTCCCTTCTTAAAAGCAGTCCAAGTGAAGATAAACATCACTTAGCTAGCAGTGATATTTTTAGAAGCCCCAATTTGGAGCTCAAACTGTAAGTCTTTTTGGAGCCTGTGTGATGTATTGACCATTCCAGCCTGAGCTCCAGCCTCATGCTTGTTTCCCTAGGTGTCTCACTCCTGTGGTGGAAATTAGGAGTTTTAGAAGTTAACACTTTTCTGTAACTCACAAAACCTTGCACAGGAGTTACTGATGGCCCATGGAATGGAAGCTCAACTGTCATCCCTGCCCAGCCTATAATTTCTCTTTTCAGACCAGTGGCTGTGTTCAAAGCACTGCTGACCGAAATCCAAGTAAGTAATTTCAGAATTCTGGACAAGCCCGTGAAACCCCAGATCTTTCCTGGTGTAGGCTCTCAGTGCTGCATAGGGCACAAAGCCCTCTATTTACTGGACACTTTGCATGAACTGACTGCTCCTGCCACACTAGGCTCAGTGCCCCCTCCCAGACCGAGCAGTGTATGTCCAGTCAGTTTTTAGTGGTATCTGCAAGACCAGCACTCATGAACTTAAGGGAGTGTGTCCACCTGTGAGAAAAACTACCATTCCTGAGGAGTGGGTCTTTTTGTCTCCTTTGCCTCTTGCTTTCCTAAAGCAAATCCACTCTATAGCTTTTCCCTACCTAGAAACTAGGAAAGTGATCAAACTAGGATCTTTAAAAGAGAAGACATTAACAGACTGCAAAAGCAAAACCAGTTGATTTTTTTTTTGCTGGAAAGCAGACAGTTGAGCTAGCATTCGATGTTCTCCTGTACCCTCGTTTCATTGAACACTTGTGTGATCTGACCATCAGGTGAAGGTTTGGTTGAAGCTATGGGAAGATGACAAATGAGTGGGAAGAAATGGAATTTCTTATAGTAGACAGACCAGCAGCTGTGGTCCTGGGCCTCGAGTTGCTTGTTTTATAAAATATGAAGGGAATGAACTCTGCCCTTTATAATGGGGGGTCTTGGATATATCCATTCACCCATGGGTGACAAGTTTCTTGAGTAAGATATTTCAGCCACATAACAGCTTCAGTCACAGGCTGAGGTATGTAGCTTGGCACATCTGTATACCCAGGAGGGTATAGCATCTGGCCTGCCCCCACTGGAGTGAGAGCGAGTAGCTGTTGGGCCCAGGCTCCAGGGTGGTGCTGGGGAACAGATCCACAAAGACCTGCTAGTTACTGGGTTGGTGAGCACACAAACTGGACTAAGGTGAATGTCATCTACAGAGCCTCAGTGAAAAGCAGTCTGATGAGTCTTATCTGTTAAATTTTTTTAGAAAAGCTATTTTATGATGCATGTCCCTCTGTCCTTATAGCTGCGTGTCACCATGCAAGTAGCAGCAGTTTTCACAAGTGGTGGCTAATGGGGAGTCATTCAACTGATGTATATGGTACCATTTTGTAGTTGTTGCTGAACAAAGAGTTTAACCAGAGTAAATGCCAAATAGTATGAGACGTGTACTTTTAAAACAATTTATTTGAGTTCAGATATTTTTGAAATATATTTTAAAAGTTTGTATTTTTAAAGCTGTAATTCCTGTAGACATTTTGTGATTAAAAATTTGTGCTTATTAGTAATGGTTATCCAAGTTTTGCACCTCAGCTTTATGAGAAATAAAGTTTCTTTGGGAAGGTGATGTTTGGTTTCCTTTTTTTTTTCTATGTTTTATTAATTTTCATAAACATTTACAGAGATTTTGGGTTTCCATTCATTCATTGTTGCACTATTCTCTCTACCCTCCTCCCAGTTTGTTCTTGTCCAAATGCCACAGTGCTTGTCAAAGCCAGTTCTGATTAATCTTCTTTGTCAGTGTGTCCTTTGCCATTCCCTATCACTCCTCCCTGAGAGAGACTTCACCCTGAGTCATAAGGAAAAGGGGATGGCGTATTCTCTTAGCTACTTCCTGCTGAAAAGGGACGCTGTGGGTTTCAGGGTGAAGATCTTCTCTCACTACTCTAAAGGGCCCCTTTGGCAGTAGGAAACACATAGACTATTATGGAGATTGATTTTGGAATTTAGATGCACTCTTATTGATTGTGCTTGGCCGTACATGTTCATATCCTTGAAGATGTATCATGGGGGTGTTGCAACCTAGAAGACACAAATTTGACTAACAAGTTATAAGTACATGAGGCCAGAAATTATGGAAAAGTAAAAGAAAAGATTCTTTCATTGTTTTACAAACCCTCCCCCAGGTCCCCTCCACCATGTAGCCCTCGCTCTAGTCTCCTGTGATGACAGAAATACCTGGTGTTTGGTTTCCTGATTATAGAACGTAGTTATTTCTCTCAGCTGCTGACTCAGATGGGATGAGGTGAAAGGTTCTAGAGGAGCCATGTCAGAGACTGCTCACCCAGCACCCCAGATGTGGGAGGACAGGGGACGACAGACAGAAGGCCTTCTGCTACTGATTGGCACCTTTTGTGGGCCTGTAATTCTGGTCCACGGTACACATAAATGTCTCAGGAATGCTCCTTGGGTTACAGTGGTTGGGATTCAGTTTTCCTTTTGCAATTAAGAATGGGCAGCTATTAACTTTGGTGGTTTTGATCTGCTACATGAAGTAGTCTAGTTGATAGGACTTGTGCTGCCAGGCCCAAGGTAGGTGGTTTGAATCCACCAGCTGCTCTGTGGTTGAAAGATGGGCAATTTCCTGTGTGATTTATAGCCTCTGAAAACCCATTGTGTCAGCTCTGAGTCATTTGTGACTCAATGGCACATAACAACATTACCACAAGAGGTCAAGAATCAGATAAGGATGAGTACAGTAACTGGAGTCTTTCCAATAGTTTTGCCTTACACCATTGTCCTGTCGAATGAAGGCTAAATGATTAAACAGGATTTCATGTTTCTGAGGAATTATGTCACACAACTTTGTGTGACATATGTGTGACAGTTCAGATTGAAGCCTCATAACCTGTCCTAGAATTACTAAGATACTCTGATTTGTAAAGAAGATACATGAAAAAGATTCAAAAGGGAACTTCCTTCCAAAGGCACAAAGAAATCAATGCAGTCTCTGTCAGAGCATCTCCTTACTTGCTGAGCACAGGGCTTAGCAGTGGAGGGTAAGGTCCTTTAGGAGTCGGGCAAGCCAGGCAGAGAGAAGCGGGATGCAAAGCTCTCCACATCCTCCCGCAGAGCCCTGACTGCATGGTGGTGCTCATTGCCTGCCAGCTTCTCCTGGAATTCCTTCAGGGTGGCCTTGGCCCCAACATCCTCCTGAATCTGTAGCGTCAGCTCTATTCCTGTGTCAGCAAGATAAAAATGAACATTGGAGCTAGCAGTGGCACTGCTGCCCTGCCAAGGCTGAAGGTTTTGGGGCAGAGAGGAGCACACACTAGACACACTGAGGGGGAGATGGGGGTCTCAGCCCAGAGCACAGTTGTCACAACAGCCTCGGGGTGAGTGCATTATGCCTGTAGACAGTCATGGTACTTGTAGGCAGGCAGTAGAGTTTTCAGAAGTCTTTCAGAATTGTTTACTAAAGTAGTTTTTGCCATTTCCTGTCCCCAGTACTTCATGATAGGAATACCTTTCAGTGGTGATTTTCTTTACCACCATTGATCATAAAGCCTTTGGACACCCAATCAAATGTGGCATACTCTCAAATTTTAACCTTACCTCTGTGGATAAAGTGGGCTACTTGTTGGAACTCTTTTTCCAAAAGTCCTCGGGATGTCAGTGCTGGGGTCCCCAGTCTGAGTCCACTGGGCCGTAGTGCACTTTTGTCACCTTCAAGATAAATGGAATTCTGTCCCTAAACCATACCTAACTCATCACTGAGTTTTTACAAATTACACTTGGTCAAGAAAGATTGGCCAGGGAGTACTGGTTTGGTCTAGCAAGAATATCAATGACTCAAAAACTAGGGGCAGAGCCCAAGTCACAGAAAGAATCATGTTTTGGTAAGGAAACTAATTTTTAGCAATATGGCACTTGCTCTAAACCAGCATCTGGCTGGCCCTGAAGTGTTTCTCCCAGATTTTATTAATACAATCACCAGTTACACCAACCCTGTGCCAAAAGATCCCACACCTTCCTCACCCAAATGAGCAGTCTCCTTTAAGTACTACCAAAGTATAAGGCTGCCCACCTTCCACTCCCTGCTGAGGTGAAAGCTGAGTCTACAGGAGTAGCTGTGGAGAGCCTGGCTTTAGGATGGTGTTATCCATCCCCTCAGATCACCTACCCCCAGCTCAAGGTATCTTAGGCCAGGAAAAAGTGATAAAACTAGTTGGCCCGGAGGAAAGGCAGATAGTAGATGGAAGAGAAGCCAAGGAGTAGTCTCACCTGGGCAGGTGTTCTTATTGCAGGCAATAGAACAGGCTTCCAGCACCTTCTCAGCCCTTCCACCATCAGTACCTTTGGAACGGAGATCCAGGAGGATCAAATGGTTGTCCGAACCACCTGGAAACATAATTTGAGTGTGTAGAAAATGCAGCTACAGTTTGTTATGATCCACACAGTCAAATGCCTTTGGATAATCAATGAAACACAGATAGACATTCTTCTGGTATTCTCTGCTTTCAGCCAAGATCCATCTAACATCAGCAACAAT